CTGGCCGGTTTGGCTCAGCGGTTAGAGCGTCGGCCTGCGGTCCGGAGAGACCCGGGTTTGGTTCCCGCTAAGGGCATGTACTTCGGTTGCAGTTTGTCCCCGGCCCTGGTTGGTCGTGCGGGTGGCAGCCACTCGATGTGTCCCTTCACATCGATGTTTCTGTCTCTCTCTCCCTTCCTCTCTCTCCCTCCCACTCTATCTGAACAAAAAATGGAAAAATATCCTCGGGTGAGGATAAAAAAAACAAAAAAACAAAAAAAAAACTGTGTAACAATTAGGCAGACACACAGTTTCAGATTATGAGAAACAAGCCAAGCCATGTGTAGTGTGGTCTCAATTACCTATAAAAGAGAGAATGCTTGGGTGGGATGGAAGGAGAAACCATGATTGCTCACATGTGACTCCTGCCAGCATATCCTTGTGCAGTACCCAACCAGGCTGGCAGACATAACTATATAGAACAGAATGAGATCTTATTTCACATCTTCTAAGTGAGCAGTTACCAGACACAAAAATAACTGTTAATGGCCCTTGCACTTATTCAGGGGCTGGGCAAGTCCTGTGGCAGACAGGGGCTCCTTTAGAAATATCAGTCTTTCTTTACCCTCTCCTCTTGCCTCTCAAAGTTCCACCTGCTGCTAATGTTGAGGTAACACACAGAAACTGGGTCCTGGAAGGAGGGCAAGTGGACCCCAAAAATTCTGCAACCTTGGATCTATTTCTGGGTCTGAGAAGACATCTTTTTCAGAGGTTGAATTGTGAGAATACTCTTAGAGGACCAATCCTCAGTCTGGAGAGAAAAGTGGTCTTTTGAGATGAGTGACAATCTAGAAGTGTCGCAAAAGGCAAATAAACACCTGAGAAAGGAAGGCCCCTAGAATTGTGATTTCTGCACCTTGAGCTTTCTACATCTTGCCATTTACTCTAGCCAACAAACTGGGCCTTTGTCACAGAAATAAAAACTCCACTATCCTGCCTCCACACCCCAAAAAGTCTAGGGGGTATTAATGAAAATTCTGTTAGCTTATCTACTCTGTCTTATAGACATAAAACATTAGGTGTCTCTAGGGTTCAGTCTTCTTTTTCTCACTCCATACGCTTTCCTGGGAAGGCCCACCCCACTACTCCCTATCTTTACTGTTACACAGGAAGGAGTCCCCCAAATACTCTCAAGTCTAGTACACTCTCCTTGGCTCCACATCAACATATATCCACCTACTGCTAGGAAGTCTTATCCACCCTTAGCTCAACATCTCCAAACTGAAAGTCATCACCTGCCCCCATCCTGCACACTGTGTGTGGCATGGACCCAGCTGCCAGTCACCCAGTCTTGGACTGTTCCCTAAGTCCTTCTTTCTCCCTGGCCCTTCCCACATCCCTACAGCGACTTTGCTCTCCTTTTTTACTTTTTATTTTATTTTTTTAAATCCTCACCCGAGGACATTTTTGCATTTATCTTCAGATAGAGCTGGAGGGAGAGAGGGGTGAAGAGAGAGAGAGAGAGAGAAACATCGATGCGAGAGAGACACATCGACTGGCCGCCACCCACACGACCCCAACTGGGGCTGGGGACAAACTGCAACCGAGGCACACGCCCTCAGTGGCAACCGAACCCGGGTCTCTCTGGTCCGCATTGAGAGTATTACAGATGTCCTCCATCACTCACCCCTTTTTGTCCCTCTTTCCCTTGCTCTCCTTTCTATACCCCACTGCCCTTCACTGGTGTTGGGCCTTTTGTTTCTCTAGATGTGCCATGGTGGTCCCTTAACTACCCCAGTCTCAGTGCAACTCTTCACCAATCCATCCCAGTAACCGATGCCAGGTTACCAGTGGAGAACACAATCTGATTTGTTACTCATAGACCCAAGATTCCTGAGTGACTCCCCACTGCTCTCAGGGTAAAATTCAAACTTGGGCCTGGTATTCAAGGCCTCTCCCAATCTGCTGCCAGCCTAGTTCTTTAATTTCATCTCCCTCTTTTTACCCCAACCACCAGAGCTACTCACAGCCGGTAGATGGGTCATGCCCTTGTTACTTCACACACACAGTCTCTGCCCTGAAGGCTCTTTTCCCTCATATGGTCTTGCCACTCCTATTCATTCTTCAAAATTTAGCTCAAGCCCTTCTCAGGAGTCTCCACCAAAGGCCAGATGAATGCCACTCTATGCCCAAAGCAAGCTCTGTCCTCCTCCATGGGAATGCCTCCCACAGTGCCACAGTTCACTGGCCCATCTCCTGACTCTGCTCTAAGCTCCTTAAGGGCAGAGACTCACTCAACTTTATAGCCACAGAACACAGGGTACAGGCTCTCCTCATGTGAATTATAATTTCAATAAACTTGTGTGGAAAGAATTTTTAAAAATCATCAAATAATGAATTGAAGTTGATTCTTAGTAAAAAGCCTGAGGTTTTGTTTCCTTGATATTATCTCCATTTGAAAAGTGACACTTGAAACAGTCACTGAAATTGCTGCTTCAAGTTAAAAAGGGCTTCCTTCTTTTATGTACAGAGTTGTCATAACAGAAAAGGTATGCTCAAACAGGTAAAACATTGAACAGGGTAAATGTTAAGTGCTTTTTTTATAACCTGCTTCATTGTCTTTATGTACTTTAAACCAGAAACCATCTAAAAGCAAACACTTAAATATGTCATCTGAGGTTGGCTTAGACTGTAATGGGAATTAGAAGCAGCAATGCATGCCCAAGGTCATTTGGCCTTCTGGACAGTCCTGGCAGGTATAGTCAGTAAGAGCTGGTGAGGCCCACCTGCCAGTGAACTTACAGATCCAGGGGGTGAATTTTATTATTGTTATGAAAAGCCTGCTTAGATTACTAGATTACTTCTACATCCCCTCAAAGGTCACCCTTACTACCAGATGAAAACCACCACACTAGTTTTATTTAGCACCTTGGTTCACTTCAAGAGATAACCCTTGCCCATCTTGCCCATTCCATTCCAGGCAATGGGGGTGCAAAGATGAATGCAATGTGCCTCCAGCCCTGTTCACAGGGAGAGAAAAGCTTCTAAACAGAGCACTTACTACCCGATAAGCACTTCACTTAGAGGCTTTATCCGAGGGCTGAGAAGATTAGATGAGGACCCAATCTTCAGAATAAAAAGAAGTCCACTGGCTGTAAATCTTTATAAACTGTAACACCTTTGTGAGACTTCTTCAGCTTTTCTTTTTGTGGTACGTGCCCCTAATGGGAACCAAACCCGGAACTCCCTGGTCCGCAGGTGGACGCTCAATCGCTAAGCCAAACTGGCCGGGGCTCTTTAGCTTTTCGTGTCTGGGTTTAATTCTCCCAGCCTGCATCCCTTAAAATGAAATGAACCTGCATACTTGTTTTTAAGACAATTAAGCAAACATATATGCATGCCTACTATATGATGGGGATTGAATATGAAGATGGAGACCTCACCCTCAAGTGGAGGAAAAATCTGTCGAATAATAAGATGGTATTTTATTATTATTGTTATTATTATTGCTTTTTTAAAAATATTTTTACTGATTTTTTAGAGAGAGAGGAAGAGAGAGATAGAAACATGAATGTGAGAAACATTGATCAGGGGCCTCCTGCACACCTCCTGCTGAGGATGGAGACACAACCCCAGCATGTGCTCTGAGCTAGAATTAAACCGGGACCTCTCAGTCCATGGGATGTTGCTTAATCCACTGAGCCACACCAGCCAGGCTGAGATGGTCTTTTAAAAATGTAATTGCCTGGCCCGGGCGATGTGTCTGTCTCAGTGGACTGAGAGTCTTCCTATGCATCAGGAGGTTATCAGTTTGGATTCTGGTGGGGCACATGCCCTGATTGTGTGCTCAATTACCAGTAGGGGGCATGCAGGAGGCAGCCGATAGGCCCCAGATCAATGTTTCTCTTACGGATGTGACCCTCTCTCCCCTTCTCCCCTCCTCTCTCTGAAATAAATAAAAACATATTTAAAAAGTAAAAATGCAACCGCCTGGAAATCCTTGCTGAGTCCCAAGCAAACATACAGTGAAATAAGGAAAACCAACTTCCAGTGCTTCTATTGTCCCCGGAAAGGCAGACAAACTAATGACTTGGAATCAGCAGCTGAGAAAGACCACAACACCAGCATCACAACCACAGTCACACCAGCCACAAGGCCTCTGCTTCCCAGTACACCACGAATTTAATAGTCACACCAGCCACAAGGCCTCTGCCTCCACACAGCCCAGGTGGTCCTTGGACAACCTCTGGCCTTAAATGTCAGCCCAGAGCGTGGTAATCCAGGAGGCCCACAGCACATCTGTTTCCATACAAAGGTTAAAGATGAAATGAAAACCTATGCCCGGGCCACTAGTACCCCCGCTTGGAGAAAACCATGACCAGACTTAGCCCATCCCTGACATCCAGCTGTGTTACTCAAGGCTCAGATAGGAGTGCCCAGGGACCCTGTGGGCTGTCTTTCGGCCCAGGGGCCATGCCAAGGGGGCACCCACCAGACAGGGCTCAGATACTAGGCGGTAAGTGGGTAAGCATGTCATCCTGAGGTGAGCGGAGGGCAGGAAAGGGAGCAGTTGCAGGTCTTCGACGTCAGAACGTTTCCAGAAATTGTTGCAATTTCGAGTCCAAAAGAGGATTTCCTACCCCGCAAAGACAGAAAGTGGCCCAAGGAAGGAGTGACACAGAGACAGCTCCTTCTGACTAACGCCTCGTCCTGGGCCAGCCAGCACACAGACGGTGGCTGGTAGGGGGCGCCGGTCCTGCTCCCGGGGTGAGTGTCCCGCGGAGCCGAGGTCCGCGGGGCAGCGCCGGGAGCGGCGGGCAGTGACAGGCGGACGGCCGCGGGTCCCAGACCTCCGCGCCGCGGCCAACCCCCGAGCACCACCTCAGACCGAGGCCCCAGAGTCCCCACGCCCCCTCCCTCAGCACGGCCCCGCCGCGATGACAGCCGGAGACCTGGCTCCGCAGTCCCCGAGGCCCCGCGGCGGGCCATCACTTCCCGTGCCAGGCCCGTCGCGTACCCACCTCCGCCGCCGCACAGCTCCGTGCCGCACAGCGCACCGCTTTCTCCTCAGCTCGCCGAGCAACTGAGCGCGGGCTTCTCTACGCATGCGCGCACGCTGCCCCGCCCCCGCCGAGCACGCGCCAAGGGCTGCCCACCCCGGGCGCCGCGGGTCTCAGCCGCATTGGGCTCTGGGCATGCGCACCGACGCCCCTCGGCCGGGCCACGGGTTCCTGCGCGGCCCCAGAACAAGTCCCGGCGCGGAGGGGCAGGGGTTCGCTAGCGGTTACTTCTGGCAGAAGTTGAGCAGTAGGAGGGCAGGGCGGGGGTCACCGGTTACGTGTAGACCCTGGCGTGCACGTCCGCGTGGGCATGACGTCTGGTTCCGAGTGGGAGAAGGGGCGTAGGGGGTCCTAGGAGCTGGACTTTATAGGAGGAGCTCTGAGGCCGAGGCTGAGAGAGACAGCCAGATGGAGACAAGTGACAGCCAGGAGACAAGAGTCAGGGAAAAGGCAGACCAAGAAAGGCCAAACACAGGCAGAGACGCAGCGGAGAAAGGGACACGGACGCTCAACCAGTACAGAAAGGGCAGGCATAGGGGACAGACGGGGACCAGAGGCCACCGTCCTCGCTGGGGGAGGAGTCACAGTAGCCTCTGGCAGGGGGCGGGGAAACCAGTGTCGCTGAACCCCAAGGGGGTCCGTGGACATCTGTGGCGGCCACAGTGCCTCTCGGTGAGTCATAGCGCTCTCTGGCGGATTACAAGAGTCCGTGGGGAGTGGAGTCACAGCGGTCCTTGGTGTGTTCTCAGACCTATAATGGGGTCCTGGATTCACAGGGGACTTCATAACCGTTTGGGGGATGTCACAATGCCTTTTAGAAAGGTGAGAACTCTCTTTGAGGGACTACTCCATCACGAGGAGGCAGCCCTTGGGGGTGTTAGCAGAACCTCAAGTGTTAGACCCCACAAGGAGGCTCACAGCCTTCTGTAGGTATCACGGTGCCTCTGGGAGGGGGCAGATAGCGCAAGTGCGGGGAATCCAAGGAATTCTCTGGGATAACAGCTGCCAAAGGAAGCCTCCAAGCAGCTCTTTGGGGCTATCATATCCCTCTGTGTCTCTGCGTCGGTCACATCCATCCTGGGCACCCGCGCGAGGTACAGAGGGAGGCGCCCGGCAGGGTTGAGTGGGGACCCAGATGGCGACGAGCGCTATGTGAGCAAAGACTTCTCCACAGACGGATGCACTGGTTGAACGTGCGCCTTGATGTGGGAGCAGCGCCCCGCCCCGCCCAGTCCCAGCCTAGCCCGCGGGCTCAGGCCACCCCGCAGCGGCCCCGCCGCTCACGCCGCTGCAGCCTCCGAAGGCGCCGCGTCCACGCGTCCCGCCAGGGCAGCACGAGGCTCCCGTGAGCAGCGCTGAGCCCGGGCCCTCTGCCCCCTGGATCTCCGACCGCAGCCCCTGGCCCGCCCCCCAGCAGCAGGTAGCGGCGGCCGGGTAGCAGGCGTGGGCAACCGCAGGCAGCATCCCGTGCCGGCACCCACAGAGCGCTGCTCCCGCGTCGTGCGCGCTCCTCGCCGCTCCGGAACACAGCAAGCACGGCCACCGGAAAGCGCGTCCACGAGCCACGTGCCTCGCCGCGTGCACCCACCGCCACCTGCACCGCTGTGGAAAGGGCGAGAGGGGGTCGGGGTCAGGCTAGGAGGGGGCTAGCGACGCGAGGAGCACCGGGCGCTTGTGGCCAGGAGGGAAAGCAGAGGAGGGATATGGAGGACACCCACTGGAGAGGAAGGGCACAGAAAGGACACTAGGGGCTGACAGGGTGGGGCTAGCGGCAGTGGGGGGCCTGAGGGATAGAAGATGGCCTGGGGGTCCAGCAAAGGTAAGGGTATCCAAAGGGCAAGGTGAGAAGGTGGGGGCAGGAGGCCGGAGAGCTGCCTACCGTAGTCCTTCCTGCAGAACTTTTTCAGGCTAATGCGGTAGCTGCCACGGGTGGGTTTGCAGTGCAAGTCGCAGTCTGGGGAGGGAGGATAAGGTAGTGGGGAGGCTGGCACAGATCCCTACCTTCTTCCCCCAACCTCTCTTACCCTCCTAGAAATCATAGCACCACTCCTTTCATGGACATAGCAGTCTAGGACTCTGATGTGTGTCCACTCACCCTGTGACTCCACAGAGCTGCTCTCCTCAGTGGGTCCAGGGACAGGGGTCTCTGCAGAAAGGGTGGGAGATTGGCCTGCATTTGAGTGGGGAAGAGGGATCTGGAGTGCTCAGGGGATAGGTAGGCAGCAGCAGGGAGCTGGGGTGGCCTAAGCAGGGCAAGGTCACTCACTAACGCAGGGTGCCACCGGAGAGCGACTCTGCTGGAAGCCAGGGGCGCAGCGATTGCAGGTGAGGCCAGTGACACCATCCTTGCAGGGACACTGGCCTGTGGTCTGATTGCAGGTTTTGCCAGCAGCACCAACAGGGTGACAGTCACAGGCTGAGGACAGAGGTGAAATGGTCAGAAACCATCTGGGGTTATGGGAAACCAGAGGGAGACGGTATGCAGGCTCACCCCTGCAAGCTCGGCGGTCACTTGGTGCACGGCCTGGGTCACGATAGAAGCCCTCCCGGCAGTAGTGGCAGTGGCGACCGGCGGTATTATGCCGGCAGTTGAGGCAGACACCACCGCTGCGACGGCCAGACAGTCGGTACAGCTCCATGTTGAAGCGGCAGCGGCGGGCATGGCCATTGCAGGAGCAAGCTGCAGAGAGGGGTGGGTCAGGGGCAGGCTGGCTGGGTCCAAGATCCCCGGCCACCCTCCAAGGCCTCACCAAGGCAGGCGTGGGCTTCCCGGGCCGTGGCCCGCTGCCACGGCCTGTCGCAGTAGAAGGGCTTGCAGCGGCCACAGTCAGGACCCTCGGTGCCATGCCGGCAGTCGCAGATCAGGTGGCCCTGGGTGTCCAGTAAGCACCGCGAGGCATGCCCATTGCACTTGCAGCGCCCGCCCACTTGGAGCTCAGTGGCTGAGTAAGAGTAAGGGACCATGGCCTCAGAGTCTCTGGTGTCCCCCAACATGGCAGGCCTTGTGAGCACTACTCGAATGTCTGTGGCGGTCACCCAGTCTTGGAGCACCGGGCTGCTGTCCAGATCCAGGCCTGGCGGGCTGCTGTCCTGCATGCTGAAGGCCAGAAGGCCACCACCATCAGGCTGGGTCTGTGGCTCAGGGAAGCACAAAGCTTCAGGCCCGGGGCCAGCTGGGCCATTGGCAGGGGCTGGCAGGCGGCCGTAGTCCAGGCCACAGCAGGAAGAGAAGAAGCCCAGAGGAACCCAGCTTCGGCCGTGGTCCTGCGACTTGAGCAAGGCAACTGAGGTGGGGGGCGTGGAGCAGAAGCGCAAGCTCACAAACACCAGCTCAAAAGTTTTGCCCAGGGGTATTGTGAGGGTCACGTTGAGGGGTGCTTGCGTCAGCCAGTCGGAACGCCAGCACACAGGGCTTGTGGTGCCCCCTGAGGAGGTCAGGAGGGCAGCAGGGTGTGCCCGCCGTGGGTCAGAGAAGTCGCAGGCCTGCGTGGGTGGCCGTCCGCACGTGCTGGACGCCAGCACCTCACGGCCTAAGGCCGCATTCACCAGGCCTGGCACGCAGCCTCGGGGCGCGCCCCCCTCGTCATGGCAGGGGTCGGCGGGCACTAGCGGCCCCGGGCTCAGCGCGGCCAAGAGCGTGCCCGCGGTCACCAGCAGCCCCCAGGGCCAAATGGGCATGGCCGGAGCCGCCGTGGGTCAGCCAGGTGGCCGTGGCCCCACGCCGCTGCTCTCGCGTGGGTAGAGCCCGGGTCTGAGGCTCTGCGGGCCGGTCTGCAATGCCGAGAGACCTCAGGCCCCGGGCGGCCCCAGTCGGGGCCCAGGGGTAGGAGCAGCCGCGGGCACACCCCGGGCCTAGCGCAACAGCAAGGATGTTGGCAGGTCCTCCTGCCGGGCCTGGAGCGATGACAGCCTTCGCCCCGACTCCCGGCTCCCGGCTCCTCCGCCCAAGGAGGCCCCACCCGCCGCCCGCGGCTCACACTCACCCACGGAGGGCCGGGTGGAGCAGGTCTCCCGGCCTCCCGGGAGTTGCTGAGGGCGGGCGGGCCCTGGGGCGCCCGGGCCGCCGCCTCCTCCCGGCTGCAGCTAGGGCGGCCGAGCTGTGCCAGGTGGGGGTGGGGGGCGCAGCAGGCTCAAGCCTGGGCCCAGCCGGGGGCGGGGCTGCTTGTGCTGGGAAGGAGGGAGGGGAGGAGAGGGGGCCTTGTCGGCATAGCGGGAATCAGAAGCAGATTCAGACACTGGCTGGGCCAGCGGGGGAGGGGCCGGGGAGCCAGGAATGTGCTGTCGGGAGGGGTCTGGAGGGGAAAGCTCAGCCACGCAGCCCGTGGGGGACCACCCAGCAGGGTCCCTGGCCCGAAGCCAGGTCTTGACTGCTCCTGGAGCTGTGTCACATGCTGGGCAGGGGTCTGGCAGGCTCCTCCCTCAGGCCCATTAGGCAGGCTAGGTCTGAAGTCTGGGCCTGGGATGCTCCCTGATGTTCATACAGGACATACACAAGATACGAGAAGCCAAGTCATATCGGTGGTTGTGGGGTGTCCCCAAAGCAGCAATTTGTTCTAGTAGAAAGAACCCAGGAGTGGGACCAGGTCTTATTTTGAATCCAAGCTGCTTTAATTTCCAGCTGTGTGGTTCAGATTCCTTAACCTGTTCCAGCCTCAGTTTTCTCTTCAGCCATATGCCTGTTTTTCAACATTGCCGATCAGCAGTTGGGGTGGGGGATTTGATGAGCCTAAGGCTAGACAGACTTGAGTCCCTCCTGCCTTATGTTCAGGAAGGACTGTATCTGTGATCCCTGGGACTGGCCTGTGCTCATCTAAGGGATGAGGCTGGCGTCCTCCACCCAGATCAGACCAAACTCTTGTCCCTGGGTCTCTGAATGTCTAGTTGCAACAACATGATGGGCCCAGCCCTTGGAGTTGGCAGGGAGGAAGTGGAAGCTGTGTGTGGGGGGAGGGGAATAGGGAGTACAGCCAACTAGGTGGCAGGTCTCCTTGGAGTTCAGGGGCTTGGTTACCTATGGAGAGGTAAGGAGTGGGGTTTGATCCCTGGGAGGGCCTGGTCACAGATGGCTATGCCAGTACCCCTGGCCCATATACCAGCAGATTTGAGCAGGAAAACTGAGGCAGAAGCCCAGCTGGATAGCCTGGACCCCAGCTGGACCCCAGCTGGCGATGGGGCAGCTATAGCTGAGAGTGGCCCCAGCCAAGAGGAGCCAAGAATTTCTCTGGACAGAGAGACCTCTTCCCAACCACCTTGAGGTCCTTGATGGAGGGGAGTCAAGTATCCCAGGGAGGGGGTGACTCCATGTGGAAAGGGAAGGCCACATGGGAAACATTCTCCTTGGGACAGCTCTGAGGCCTGAAGTTTCAGATGAGAGGTTGACTCCTAGCCAAGCCCTGCAGCCAGTGTAGGATGCCACATGAAGTGTGTCTGTTAGTGGAACTGCCATCCTCTGCTGGGCCTGAGATGCTGCAAGGACCCACAAGAGGATGGAGAGAAGCAGAATCCTTGTGCTGTTTAGGATACAGGAGCCTCCTACGGGAAACTGAAGGAGCGGGCAGGAGGGCTTGACCTTGGAAAAGAAGCAGGAAGACAATGTGATGGGGCACCTGGAGTGACTGAAACCCTTTGGTCAAGCTCTTTCCCAGGTCTGACTTGAACAAATGCAAGTGTGTGTGTGTGTGTGTGTGTGTGTGTGTGTGTATGTAAGGGCTAATGAGATGATGGGAGACTTTGGAAAGATTCACCAGGTGGGTCCCAGGGGCTGCTGGCCTCTCCTTTCACCTCTGGCAGCAACAGAAAGGCTGTGGGACCCCCCCCCCCATCCCCACTCCAGGACACACAGAGTAGGTGTCATGGGACTCTGTCCCTCAACTTCTCAATAAAGAGAATGTGCTCCTTACAACAAAGAGCCATACACGAATGAGGGAGTTGGCAGGGTGCATGCACATTCTGCTCTGGGAGGGGTCAAGTTTAAAAACACCTTCCTAACCACCCTCTGGTTGCCATCCTCAAATACTGCTTAGGATGGGAAGAGCTCTGGTGGGAAAGTGGGTGCTGGGATAGATTGTTTGGGGACTATTAGAAGCAAGGAGGTGACCAGATGGCCACAGTGGAGAGAAATGCCCAGGCTTAACACAGGGGTTCCACAGGGCTTGGAACAAGCCTCTAGGGAAACCCTCTGTCTGGATTCAGGACTCCTGCCAGGAGGGAGGAACTGGGAGCAGGGGGAGCAGCCTCTCCCGTTTGTCAGCCTTGGAGGTTTTGTCTACAGCCCAGCCTTCTCGCTGGGGTCTGCAGAACATCTGGTAGCTTCTAGTGTGGGTGGAAGGAGGCTCTTGGGGCTCAGACTGATGAGTGTTCATGGCATTCAGCCCTGGGCCTGTGGTACCACCAGCTCCCCAGGGAGGAGGCTGCAGGCAGCTGGGTCTCTTTCCTGGAACAGCTTTATGCACACAAACCCCCATACACCTCTGGGCAGCCCTGGCAGATGGTGTGATGGGAGAGTTAGGGAGCCTTCTCCATAGCCCCCAGACCAGGCTAATTGCTCCTTGTGGACTCTACCACTTGTCCTCAGCCCCTGACTGGGAATTCTCTCACCTCCTACCTCCCTGATGGCCCTGCCTTCTCCTGGCACCTTAGAAGAGGTTCTGCCTCCCTGCACCCATCTGCAACTCCTCAGGCCGCTGCACTTCCCCCTCCCCCACCCAGGGTGACAGCTGCTGGTTTGGGGGCATTCAGGGAATCTATGTGGGTAAGAGACCAAAGAGGCCTGACAGTCTGAGGCCCCAGGGGTCTTTCCTTTAAAAGGCCGACTGACTCCCAGCCTAGCCCAGGACCTGCTGTTTCTGCAAGATGCTTTCAAGCCACCACTTGTTCATTTATCACACAAACATTTATTAAGCGCCTATTGTGCCTGGAGGAGCTTCCAACCCAAAGGGGAAGACAGACAGCTGGGGACGGGCACAACATGCTGTTCCTTGCCCGGAGGATGATGGCCTCGCTGAGTCCAGCTTGCCGCTGCCCTGCACCCTATATACCTAGCAGGGTCCACAGCCGCACTGACTCTCGCCTGCCCTATGCTCAAACCAGGCCTGCTCTGTTGTTCCATCAGCTCTGCCCACCAATCCAAACACTGAAAAGCAACATTGGGTGGATGATGGTGCCAGATGGGGAGTCAATGGGGGAGTGGAGGGGAATGGCCTAGTAACTCCCTTCCCCTGGGCCTCCCAAGGGCTCTACTACCTGTGAGTGTTCGCCAGGCCTGGGCGAATTCCAGAGGGAGAAGGCTCCCCGCTCACTGTGACCTCGCTGGGGACCGGGCCGGCATGTGGACTCAGTGTTTCCAGCTCTCGCCACTCTGCCCCTCTGCCGCTGTTGCCAACCAAGCATGCTAGCACTGGAAGACTGAGGCCCACAGCGAACATGGCCAGGGACTCACCCTGGGCCAGGTCCAGGCAGGGTCTGTGCAGAGGTAATGGTCAAGGTTTCACAGCAGAGTCTGTCAGCATGGGCCACAGCACTAGAGGATAGGACCCAGGGAGGTGATGAGCCCCAACCCCATGTAGCTGGTGGCCAAGAGCAACAGCCCAGGGCAAAGGGGTGGGGTGGGGTGTAGGAATCAGTAAGTGCCAAGCACTGGGACTTGGGTGTACTCATGCCACCACGTGGGGGCCACACTCAGGTGGATGTGAGTACCAGTGCAGTTCCCCATTCACACTGGCCAAGTCAGAGCAGACTGGCAGGGGGCACAGGTGAAAGTTCACTCCTGTCTCCTGACTTAGTAGGGCAGGTGCCTGAGGGGGTTCTCCTTTTCCCTGCTCTGGGTGCCTTGTGTTGGGGCCTACCCAGACAACCCTCCTCTTACCATCCATGGCACTTCCCTGCCCAAGAAGGCCCATGAGTCTTCAGGACACCACCAGTGCCCAGCACTGGCCCCAGACAGGTGGGTCTTTGGACGCCCATTCTGGCCTGACTAGGGATCGAGGTGGACAGTGCCCCTGCCCTCGTGGGGCAGAGGTCCAGTAAAAAAGATGCACAATAAACCAAGTGAACCAGTAGATGAAATAATTCCAGTGGAAAACACCTATTATGGAAACGAATTCTGGGGTGGCCAGTAACAGGGTGATGGTGGAATCCACCTTGAGGATTAAGGTTTCCTCAAGATCGAAGTACATGGGTCACTCTGGAGGCAGCAATGGAGTGGCCAGCTGTCCCGCAGGTTCCCGTCCTGGGCAGTGGGTGGAGCTGTTCCATTCCGTTTTTTCCTTTCCTACTTTGTCATCTGGCTTCCAGCAGCCCTCAAGACTCAGGACTCTATGTCCAAGGTACCTAGCCTGTTCCACGATGGGGCCTTTTACAAGGAGGGCCTCCTGCAGGGTACCTGGAGCCACCCTGAGGCTGGTTCAACATCACCCAGTTCATGCCTTCTTTCTGCTACACTTCACCTGGCTCTCAGTTACCTGCCTTCTGGGCCTGGGTCCCTCAGGACAGAGATTGGTGTTACTCCGTCTCAGAGTCACTGTGCACACTAAGGGCCAATGCCCCAGCTCTGAGCATTGTGCTTGGTTCTTGTGGGTGCTCAGTAAAGGTTCATTTCAAGAATACCACAGCCTTCCAGTCCTCACCAGGGCCCAGTGCCGTGAAACATCTCACATCATCTCATTTATCTTCACCCTAGCCCTAGTGCTAATAACCACTACCCCCAATAATGACAGCGGGGACAACACTGGGAATTGAAGCTCAGAGTCCTTAAGAATCTTGCTGAAAGTCCCCTAGCAGTAAACAAGTCACAGTGTAAACCCAAATCTCACTGGTTTAAAACCAGAGGCCGTGACCTTGACCTCTACTTTCTTGCCTTCCAAAGCAATGATTCCTTCAACAGGGAAGGCAGGATCACCAGAAGTGGAGACAGTGGAGCTGGTGAGGGGTGTTGGGTAAAGGGCCTATTCCCTGGTAGTGGTGGGACCCACACCAGCTACAACAATGGTCCAGGAAGTAGTCGGCGTGGATATCAGGATTGATGGCTATGGGCACATAGTACCCACCTACTCTAATATAGGCCTGTGGCTTTTCTGTCTTCCAATGAGCCCAGTACAGATCTAGGCACCTGGGTGAGGGCCAATGCATGAGGTGAGTCCCCATTGCAGTTTACCCTGAGTGGCCTTACCCCCTCTCTACAATACAGATAAGGATATGAGTGTTCTTGATAAATGCACTTGATATATTCTTGGTAACCAAAAACACAAAAAAAAATAAATGTATCAAATCCCACTTTGGTATGATGTAAATATATATACTTTGTAAAGCAGTTTTAATGTCACACAAGCAGCTTTTATGTCTAAAGCAAGAAAAAACAGAGGTAGCTAAGAAAAGCCCAACAGGCCTCTAGTCTCCCCAAGCCTGTGGAGGGCCCAGCTGAGCCCTGACCAGGTTAGGCCCTGTGAGAAGGGACCTAGTTCCTCAGGAAGAGCCAGAAGGCCAACTCTGCCCCTTGGTTTCCCAGGGGAGCACAGGCATCTCTGCCCAGGCCACTGCACCAGTGAAAATCCCTTCAATCTCTGTTCATTTAACTCTGACCAGAGAAGAAGTCCTCTCTCCAACAGACCCAGACCAGCTTGCCCTGCCACAGGAAGGGTTCAGTAAGCAGGTTCATCTCGCAGGATGGTGAGGAAACGCTGGCCTCCCTCGCAGAGAAGGCTGTGCACAGCCCGGCATAGTGCCAACCAGGGTGGTCCCAGTGACTCCTGTGTGCTCACCAAGGGGAGGAGTTCTGCCATCAAGACCTGGAGGGAGATGTAGGGTCAAGGTCGCAGGGAGGCCTTGTCTCAGAAAGCTGTCCAGGGTCCCCACAGGAGGGCCCAGGGGGTGGAGCAATTCCAGGGTAGGTTTGAGGCACCATTCTCCAGCCCCTCCCTCCCTCTAAAAACTTCTTTCTCCTGCTGCTCAGGTGCTGGCAAGTACACAGACCCAGAGGCTCCCATCAAGAGCGTAGACAGGCTCTTGAGCCCTCACGAGGCTCTGGACCTGGAATCCTCCCCATGGCTCAGGCTCCCCTGGCACCCAGTCACCTACTCCCCCACTGCTACTCTGGAAGTACCTTTTCCAGGTGGATCTGCTGGTCCAGCATGCACACCCGAAGCCTAAGGGCCGCCAGGGTCTGCAGCTCCTGGGTGCTGGAGTAGAGAAGCAACTGGGGGCTCCAGATGGGGTCTGCTCCTCCTCCACAGGGCAATGAGGCTGTGGGGAGTCTCCTTTCAGGCCGTGGCCCCAGCTGCTGTTCCACCACTTCTGTGAGGACAGGAGGATGTGGTGGCTTCATGGGGTGACAGCCAGGCACCTCCTCCCCACTCTCCTCTAAGGGAGTACAAAGTTGCAAAGTCTCCATTTGCCTCCTGGATGAAGCCCTATTGTTCACAATCATCTCTTGCAAGGCCAGGCCAGTCACCTGCCAGTATCTGATTCTCAACATGCTCCTTTTTCAACAACTGGACAAATAAGCTAACTGCTTACAGTGGTGGGGCTCTGTGTACTGGGAGAAGAAATGGGGATGGAGGAGCTATTCCAACTGGTCCCACAGGCCAACCGGGGAGGACTCAGAATGCAGTGGGGTGATGTGGGGAAGGGCCTGCCTGCCTCTACTCTTGGGTTGATGTTAAAGTCCCAATGCTGCCTGTGGCTAGAGGACCTTGACCTCTGACCAGACTTCAGCACAAGAGAGAGTGGGGTCTCACCTGACCGAAGCTTCTGTAGCCTTTGGAGACACTGCCCCACATTGGCCTGCAACCCCTCCAAGGTAAGCAGGCAGCGATACTCCTGCATCCAGTCCGTGGGGTCTACATAAGAGTCAGGGAGGGCAGGCTGGGTCCGTGCTGTTCCTGCAGCACCCCCTCTCCCACCCCGAGACCTGTATCAGGGACCACTGACCTTTTGTGAGCTCTTCCCCCATTCGCAGTCTCAGCAGTAAGCAGGCCTTCTGCAGGCGCCCCACCTCTGCCTCTATCTCTGCAGCACTAAGCCTGGTGCTGGGCCAGCCCGACTGGACACAAGTCAGGGAAACTCCTCTGTGTTCAGCCCCTTATCCCACCTCCCCTAAAGATGGGGTCTGGGAGTGTGTGTGGGCATTCCTGGAGCTGCTCCTCAAATTCACTAGGTGTAGAACCAACAGTCCTTCCCAAACCCCCAGGAAATCCAACAAGGATACAGTCATCTGCATTTTCTGGAGGAACTGGGTTTTAGAGGAAGTAGTAACATCCATGGAGTCGCCGGTCTGTGTAGAGCTGAGCTGGGCCCACAGCCTGGGATGCACACATATGCACCCCAGGAACCAGAGAGGGGTCATTACTCCAGCCAGCTGGTTGGTTCTCAGGAATTAGGCAAGGGACAGGGTAGAGGCCCCAGCCTGGGGTTGGGGTGTCTGGTTCTGCTAAGTGCCACGAGGGGCCTTGGGATGCCTCGGGGGAACTAAGAGGACACTAGAGAGCTGACCCACTCTGAGAAATATTAGGAGAGAATTCAAGGAAAAAGGGGAGAGGGACTGGCAATGACTGGTAAGTAGGACGACTGGTAAGAGCTCTGGGTGCTGGCTTTGTACCAGGCACAGTACATAACCTGAAAGGGACCACCTCAGTTAACATCTCTGCAAAACTAGTACTGTTATCATCACCGGCACGTATTAAACAAATTGTGACTCAAAGACACCAAGTGCCTTGCTCAAAGTCTTGCAGCTTATAAGCAAGCAGCTGAGCTGGGGGTCTCAAAGCCTACTGAGTCTAAGACAACTACGACAGTCCGAGCTGGACAGACTCTTAATATACAGTGTTCCCACCCAGCAAAGAAAGCTGAGGAATCTGCAGAAAAAGTCTTACCAACGTGGCCCAGAGCTGGTGGGAAGCCTTGGCTTCACTGCTCTCCATATTTCTCTGGTCTCCCCCCTCCACCCCCACCCAGTTCCAAGACTCAACCTCACCGGGAGTTCTGAGAAGCCACCTTCCTGAAGGCCATGGGCAGCTGCAGCAGGGTCCTGTCAGGGAAGCCAGTATTCAGAGGAGCCTTGCCTCAGTCTGGGCTGCAGACCCTACCCCCTGCTCAGAGCCCAGTGAGGAGTGAGGCTAACCAATCCCCCTTGAACAGGGCTTCCAGTGACCATGGGAACCAGCCCAGTCCAGGTTTGCCTTGGCAGAGAGAAGAGATGATACCATAAGCAGAGACCATCTGGAGCCCCTGAGCGGGGTAGATAAAAGGGCACTGGACAGCCAGGGAGGAGAGTGGGACAGGACCTTGCCTAGCACATCAAACCCAGCACATTCACAGCCAGCTCTTCCATTCTGCCAGCTTCAGGGCATGGCATGGGCCTCATGGGTGGCACTCCAGAATCCACATCCACCTCAACGTTCTGCCCTCCCTGTCACCCCAAATCCCAGACTCCAGCTGCTGGCTAGGGTCTGATCAGGTAGAGAGCAGTTCCTCCAGTGAGGTTCTGGGAAACCTACCCCTTCTCCTTGAGTGTGAAAGCTTCTGGGGCTTGTGGAGCAGTCGACAGAGCTATCTGTTGGTCCCTGAGGCCTCGTCCAGTTTTGGCAGCTTGGGGCCCTCTCCCTATACAGGTCTGTTCCCCCGTTGACAGAAGCCTCGGCTTAGGGAGGCCCTTGGCAGGCATGGTAGTCTGACGGATGTCCCTGGGGGATTTTGTCTGAGAAGCCCGGGTTGGGGCAAAAACGGTGGTAGCAGAAGTGGCAATGGACCTAGACTTCAGGCTGGAGGCCTTGTCTCTTTCTTCAGCCTTAGAAATGCCTTTTCGCACGTGTACAGCCTTCTCCAGTGCCTGGGTTAAAAGCTCCAACTCTTTGAGGTCTTGGGGGCTGGGTGTGCATACTGCGAAGACCAAGACATGTAGTAGTCTTTCACCACTGTCCCCCAGGAGGGCCCCTCACCACTACGTGCCAGAAGACAGGCAGGGGCAGCACCTGGAAGTGGGTGGTTTAGGTTTACCTGGAGACAGGGCTTTTTCATGAGTTTCTGGACCTGGGGTTGGCTCCGGAGCTGGGATCTCAGCTGGTTCCCTGCGAAGACAGAGTAGCCATGGCACGGCCAAAAGGCAAGGCCCAGGCCCAACAGACCCTACAGTGCCGCCTGGCTTCGAAGCAAAACCCCAGCCTCAGAGCCTTCAGGGAAAGCGGGGAGCACCGACAACCGGCAACCTGGAAGTGGGCACTGGGCCCGGCCTCCCGGCCCAGGGCTCTGAAAGCGGTTCTGAGGACCCGAGGGAGGCCTAGCCGGTGGTCCCGGTGTCCGCGTACCAAGTCCGCAGCAGCCTCCGGGAGACTCGCAGGTCCCGCTCCAGCTGCCGCTGTCGCTCGGCACAGGTGTCCAGGGCGCCCTGCAGCTCGGCCACCAGCCTGGGAAGGACAGACCAGCGGCTCAGCACCGAGCCAGCCTTCCTCGGACCGCGCTCGCTCCCGCCCGCTCTCCCTCCACTGCGAGGGCCTCACCGGCGCGAGCAGCCGACCGGCAACATGAAGACAGCAATCCGTGTTCATGATTTGCCGCCGGCGGAAGGTCCCACCTCTTCCGGTCTGCAGGATCGCCCCCTTCCGGCAGAGTTACCCAATCCGGAGCCCAGAGTTAAGAGCACCCCTCCCGCCGCCCTGGGCCCTGTGTTACTCCCTGAGCTGGGCCCCAAGGCTTTGTGTAACGGACCTCGGGCGCCACGCAGGCTTCTGGTGTGCGTAACTGGGTAGATGGTGGCATGTGATCGCTTAACGGTTGGCTTCTCTTTGTCCTTACTGAAGGCATTCTGAAGTAGGGCCTGCCTGTCTTGCTGACCCCTGGAGGGGCCCAGTTGGTATTTACTGGCAACAGTCCTTAGAGATAAGGATGAAGTGTGTGTTGGGAGCTGGGGTGAGGAAGGAGGGAGTGTCTTCTTTGGACATACTGGTGAGGTTATGACAACCAGGGGAGACATCAGGTAGGCACCTGGGCAGAGGAGGATGAAGCAAGATGGTCTACAGTGGGGCCAATGTGAATGGAGAGGGACACGTGAGGAATGGATGGCGTCACCGGCCAAACCCTAACAAGGAGAGCTGGAGCCCAGAGAGGTGGAAGGACAGCAGAGCCCAATGTCAAAGATGCAATGGGAGGCTATACTAGGACTATGCCCAAGGGATGGGGGATGGGGTCTTCAGTGACAGAGGGAACACTCTGGGTGGGAGGAGTGATGCAGGCAGCAAGACCCAATGTAATTGGAGAAAAGAACAGAGATCTTTGGGTAGCCAAAAGCACGACAAATCTTTAGGAGGGGCGGGGGCATTGTTTAAAGATGAAGAGTTGCCCATTTTATTTTATTCTCACCCGAGGACATTTTTTGTTCAGATAGCGTGGGAGGGAGGGAGAGGAAGAGAGAGAGAGAGCAACAAATACATGAAAGGGACACATCGAGTGGCTGCCACCCGCACGACCCAACCAGGGCTGGGGACAAACTGCAACCGAGGTACATGCCCTTAGTGGGAACCAAACCCCCGCCTCTGGACCGCAGACCAATGCTCTAACCGCTGAGCCAAACCAGACAGGGCTCCATTTTATTTTATTAAAAAAATTTTTTTTTCTTTATTGAGTTTAGAGAGAGAGGAAAGGAGAGGGAGAGAGAGATATAAACATCAATGAAAGAGAACATCGATTGGCTGCCTCCTGCATGCCCCCCACTGGGGACTGGGCCCACAACCTGGGCATGTGCCCTGATCGGGAATTGAACCGGCCACCTCTTGGTGCATGGGTCGATGCTCAACCACTGAGCCATACCGGCTGGGCTGGGTTTTTTGTTTGTTTGTTTCTCTGCGTGTTCATTATTGGTGTATAAAAATGCCATCAAGTTCTGGATATTAATTTTGTATCTTGCTACTTTGCCAGATTCATTTATTAAATCTAGTAGTTTTCTGGTGGAGTATTTAGGGTTTTCTATGTACAACATGTGATCTGCAAATAAGAACGGTTTCACTCCCCCCTTTTCAATTTGGATGACTTTTATTTTTTCTTCTTGTCTGATCGCTGTGGCTAAGACTTCCAGTACTATGTTGAATAAGAGTGGTGAAAGTGGACATACCTGCCTTGTTCTTAAGGGGAACACTTTGTTTTTGCCCATTGAGTATGATGTTGGTTGTAGGTTTGTCATATGGCCTTTATTATTTTGAGGTATGACCCCTCTAATTCCACTTTGCTGAGAGTTTTTATCAAAAATGGGTGAATTTTGTTGAATGCTTTTTCTGCACCTATTGATATGATCATATGATTTTTATCTTTCATTATGTTTATCTGGTATATCACATTTATTGATTTGCAAATATTGTACCAGCCTTGCATCCCTGGGATAAATCCCACTTGATCATGGTGAATAACTTTTTAAACATATTACTGGATCCCATTTGCTAATATTTTGTTGAGGATTTTGGCATCTATGTTCATCAGGGATATTGGCTTGTAATTTTCTTTCTTTGTAGTGTCTATCTGGTTTTGGAATTAGGATAATTCTGGCTTGATAAAAAGACCTTGGAAGTCTTCCTTCCTCTTGAATTTTTTTGGAGTAGTTTTGGAGAACAGGTATTATTTCTTCTTTGAATGTTTGGTAAAACTCCTGTGAAGCTGTCTGGACCAGGGCTTTTGTTTGCAGAGAGTTTATTGATTACTGCTTCAATTTCATTAGTTGTTATTGGCCTATTCAGGTTTTCTGAATCTTCCTGGTTAAGTTTTGGAAGGATGTATGTTTTTAGGAATTTGTCAATTTCAACCATTTGTCAATAGGTTGTCCTATTTGTTGGCATATAATTTTTCCTAGTATTTTCTTACAATCCTTTGTATTTATTTCTGTGGTGTCAGTTGTTACTTCACCTCTTTTGTTTCCGATTTTATTTATTTGGGTCCTCTCTGTTTCTTGATGTCTGAGCTGCCCATTATAGTCACTAATAGAAAGGTGCTTCAGCCCTGGCTGGTTTGACTCCATGGTTAAAGCGTCGGCCCGAGGATCAATGAGTCACGGGTTTGATTCTGGCCAAAGGCATATGCCTTGGTTGTGTTTTGTCCCCAGCCCTGGTCGGGTCATGCGGGAGGCAATCAGTCAATGTGTCCCTCTCATGTCAATGTTTCTCTCTCTCCCCCACCTCCTTACTTTATCTGAAGATAAATAGAAAAATATCCTTGGGTGAGGATTAAAAAAAAAAAAAAAAGGTGCTGCAACATAGGGGAGAGAGACATGAAGGAGGGGAGTTGAGGGAGCTAGGCACAGAGAGGGAAAGGGGTTGGGGACCCCGGCAGCCAAGGGACTGCTCTTGAGGTGGTTCTTCCATCTGCAGTGGCCTGTTTTCATGCCTAATGCAGGGAGGCTGATGCCATTCTTGCCAAAAATGAGATTCTCTGTGAGGTAGGAGGGGAGGGGAAAATGCTTCCATCGGCACTTTGGAGACCCCATACTAGTCATAGGGCACTGAGGTGATTGTTAGAACTTGGGACAATGCAGGGAAACTCCATACTGTGGCCATGGAACATTATGTTCCACAATAGTTTTCTCCGACAGGTGCAGGCTGGGAGAAGGCAAAGAACTAGCTCCACCCAGAGTTGGGATTTTGATAAAGGGCCATGGACAAGTGTCCCATTGTGACTTAGGGTGGCAGTAGGAAGTGACAAGAAGTGACAAGTAGGAAGTGACAAAAAGGCAGTTCAGATATGCACATCACTCAGCTTCCACTATCCTCATCACATTTAATCCTCACAACACCCCTGTGAGGTAGGTATTATTGCTCCATCTTACAGGTGAGGAAACTGAGGCTCACACATGCCCAGGGGCACACAGTTGCAGAATTCTCTTACAGTAGCAAAGACAGCTCCCACAGGGACACACACATACACACACACACACACACACACACACACACACACACACACACACAAGCTACCAGTCAGCCAGCATCTTCACATCCCTGCAGTTCTGATTCAAGAGCATTAGGGGGACACTCCAGGCCAAGTGGTTCTTTTTGACATTTTGAGAAGAAACAAAAGAGGAAGAGGAAGCATTGTGAGAGTGTCAGTGGTCAACCCAACTGAGAGGTCAGGGTCACTCTTGGGAAGATCTCTTAAGTGTTTTGGCTGCTGTCCCCTGAGGAGAGTCCAAGTCTCTCAGCTAGTTATTTTCCAGAACCCAGAGCAGACCCACCCCACCCTGCAGGCAGGGAGAGGTCCTCAATCTTGCTCTTCTGCATCTGGGTCACCTCAGATGTTACAAATGATTTTTTGGTTTATTTTATTCTTGGCTAACCTCTCTAGGAAAATTTTCTGTGCATAAACAGTGTCAGGATAGTTTTGAGGGGTTTGAATTAGATTTTCTTTAGCTGAGTCTAAATAATGTTAATAATCCCTTGTTTTTAAAATTTTAATACCTTTTTAAAGGGGCCCAAGCCCCTCTATTTAAAATTTTTCTTTTATTTTCATCTTAGAATGAAGAATAAAAATACAGGAAAAGAAATGGCCCAGAAATTCAGAACAAAAAGAGGTGTTCAGCCCTGGCCAGTTTGGCTCAGCGGTTAGAGCGTCAGCCTGCGGTCCACAGAGACCCGGGTTCGGTTCCCGCTAAGGGCACGTACCTTGGCTGCAGTTTGTCCCCGGCCCTGGTTGGGTCGTGTGGGTGGCGGCCACTCGATGTGTCCCTTTCACATCGATGTTTCTCTCTCTTCCTCTCTCTCCTTCCCACTCTATCTGAGTAAAAAAAGTGTTCATATGGACACTATCTGTTAGGGACACAGACAAATTACTCTGGGAGGAGGGACAGATTTCTAAAGTGAGCTGGGAATGTGGGAAGGAGGGAGCCTATGACCAAGATATTGAGGCCCTGGCCTGCAAAAAGTCAGGGCCCTCCATGCCTGGTCATCACATGCAGTCCCTGACAATGCATAGGGCAGGGCTCCCTCACCATGGGACCCTCTGCTCTGTGAGTGAGTAGGTGACCATGGGGACAGATCTGTGCCCAGAGCTCTCAGCTCCCCATAGAACCCCAAATCAGATAGATGTGGGGAGGGGGGAAGCTGTGCCAGGCCAGCTGGATCACATGTGTTCTCAATTGTGAAAGCTGTCAGTTCCCATTATGGGGTTTCAGTGGGGCTGGGGTTATCAGGCCACGAGCTTAAGATTCCTAGAGAGAAAGCAGGACAGACAGAGTGGGGCACAGAGAACTAGGATTCACACGGTGTTGCTTTGAGGTTAAATTTTTCAAAGAGAAAGAGCTGAGTTTTTGTTCAGATTTAGACATTCTGATGGCTCGAATGGGACTCCCCTGGTGAAAGACACTCAGTGTCCTCCCTAAGTTCTCTCCCAGTTCCCATTTGAGGCCACCAGGATCTACACATCATCCATCTCCAGTGCTCCCACTTCTCGCTAGTGCATCAGCAGCACTCTCTCCACAAACATTCACTGCAGCAAACACACACTCACAGCTTCAGGAAGCCCAAGTTCGTGTCCTGCTCCTTCTTGCTGGGGGCAGATAGGTTTTTCCTTTTCACCTGTTGC